GCACCAATAAAGACACCGAGGGGAGAAAGCAAGCCAAGTTTATTTCAGAGCTCTGAAATGGCACCAGGAGACCAGCATGTCTCAAATCCAGTGCAACAAATACAAATAACTTTTACCTTTTATACCCCAAACAGTTTCTGTGTAAGCCTTTGTCTGTTACTCCCTCTTACTACTCCCACCTCTCCCTTCTCTAGCCGTTACAATTAGAAAAGTTCCCATACGCCTGTGAGAAAACTTTCCCAGTCTCTGCGACCTTGAATCAGACATCTGCAAAACTAACTACCCCTCTTTCTTATCTCTATTATTTCTGCTAGTGTGAGTAAAACTGGAGCCATCTGCTAAAAACGCTGACCACTACATTTCTGCTGTAGCCTGTAAGCATTAAACACAGAAGTAAGTGAGAGTTCACAAGATGGAGTTTGGGGGTTCCAGATAGGCCTAGAGCAAAAGAGCTTCATCGACACTTTGGCCTTCCACTCTCCCGAGTTACCTGGTAGCTATGCTTAGGGGACCCCAACATAACCATATGCATAAAACAAACAGAAGTGAAAGAGCAAGGCTGTGACTCAAAGTAGGACTCTTCACAAAATTAGTAGAAACATAGTTTTAGTATTTTTGCTCCCCTAACCCCTCTCATAGTCCAAGCCTCTGTAAAAAGAAAGAGTTCTAAACGTATCCAAAACCATTCTTTTCAGAATATCTGTCCAACCTGCCCCTGCATAGGCCTTCACTACAACTATTAATAACCGTAGTAAACTCCTAGGTCACTATCCAGTTGTGATTGTTATCTTCAGAGTCTTTCTGGATGGATAATCAAAAAGATCATTTAACAAATAAAATGAAACTTTAAATACCCTCCCGCCCATTACCGTAGACTTTGTGACAAAAGACCAGATTATGATTTCTCACTGGTTTTACACTAATGACATTTCATTGGCTTTAGAGGATTTACTGCTGTAAGTGAGAACAGAATTAGGCCCAGATTCCATAGATTTTATTTTTAAATTTGGCATTTCCAGGTCTCGGTTTTTTACTCTAAGCTGCTAGTTACTCTTGGCATTTTTTTTTTTTTTTTTTTTTTATTTTTTTAAAAGCTGATCCAACCTTAAATTCCCTAGGAATCTAAATCAACAGCAGGCAGCTGAAATTCCTTGCTGGTTGGCTGCTGTTTCTATGGAAACTATGGTTAGAATAGCTTTAAAAAGAGTGTAGCTTAAAAAAAAAAAAGTGGAGGTAAAAATTTTTAAATAAAAAACACTTACTCTTACCTTATTCTTGCTAATCTGTCCCACCTTTTTATAAAAACTGAACCAGATTGGCTAATAATAGCCAGCAACTATGGATGGAAGCTCACCTGTGCAGCTCTCCTCTGTCAACCAGCAACTGAAATCTGTAAATGCCAGTTTGAAAATAACAAACACAAAAATGTGTTCTGATATTCTTCTCTTTCTGAGTCCATACTTAACAGATGGCGGATTGGCTCACAAATTCTGACTGGATTGGTTATGCCCTATCCTGGCTCAGCTGGAACTGCCATAAGCCAATCATGTGCATCCTTTCATTATGCCATTTTTTCTTGTTCTTTCTTTTATAAAGAAAGAACGACAAAATGAGTTTTAGCTATCTAAAGTACAAACAGGAGAATGAGAGTCCAGGATTAGTGATTCTTAACATTTACATAGTGCTTCATGTATCAACACACTATACAGACGTTAACTAATCCTCACTATGAGTAACTGAAGTGATGGAAATAAGGCAAACAGATTTGCCTAAAGCCGCACAGTAAATCAGGAACAGACCTGGGAATAAAATTTTAAAATTTCTTGCTTCTAGTCCGCTGGCTCACTCCAGTTAGACCATGCTGAACTCGAAATACTTTCAAGGTTATCACAGGCAACAATACTTTACAACAATATTCCATCCCCTCTCCATTGTAACTAAAGGATGATAAATGATATAGTGCTGGGGAAGAAAATAAAAAGCTTTGTTTACAGGAGAATGATTGATTATATTCAGCCCAGTACATAAATATATGGACTGAGAAGATAGATAAAAAAATGTTAAGCCTTCAAAATTTGGCTCTAGGTCTTGGTCTGTTACTTGTCCTGTTAGTTTAACTTTGTGACATTCTCTCCGTTTTCTTCAGATGCCAAGTGAAATAATTATTAGTCTTTTGAGGCAAAAAGATATTTCTTTCTAATTTCTCAGAATCAGTTTTGATTTCAGAGGACACTAAAATATATTTGCTACACAGATTAGTGTGTAACAATTTCAAAATCCTAAAACAGTCTTGAAGCAGGGCTAAATATGAATCTGTGTCACAGCATATTTGATAGTCTAAGAGAGAGAATTCAGAACTTTAGAGTAGAAAGGTTGAATGAAGAAACAGCATTGCTTCTTGTGGCCGTGAGTCTCTTCAAAATTGTATTGGTGCCAGTATATATGAGTTTCATACTAAACAAGTAGAATGTTATAAAATACATTCTCTGAAGCATTTGATATTGCATAACAAACAGTGTGAAATATCAGGTAATAAATTCTTCGTTTCTACACTAACATTTGTCCTAAAGAGAAGTGATTTGCTTGCTTCAAGATTAAATATCGAGTATAGAGATTGCATGGAGTAATGTAAAATATTGCTGTTTAGAAATGTTTGCAAACTTATCCTTATGAGTTCAGATTGTGGTAAATTTGCTTCTAAGGCAATGAAATATAAGTACCAAAGGGGGAAAACTCTTTATAATTTAGAAAAAAAACAGGCACTACTTTCATAATGCTTTCTGCATGATTGTTTGCAGTTGATCTTTCATAATTTAACACACGATTACTATTTGAATAATTTTTAGTTTTTTTCCCTTTGTGTTACCTGGTAAAAAGCCAAAAATATCTTTTCCAGCAAGTAACAAAACTCTTATTTGTACTGTTTTGTATTAATAGAAGGTGAATAAGAATTGTATTAAACTTTACAGATGAATATGGCTTGAGTTTACCTCTTGGAGATGAATATGAAAGAAAGAAACATAAGCTAAAGGAGGAACTTCGACAAGATTATAGACGATATCTTTCTCAGGTAAAACCTCTTTGAAATTAGTCTCTGATTTTAACAAAAAACAAAACCACCATGAAAAAGCCTTTTGAGAAGACAGAATTCATTCTGAGCTGTGACAATTTCAAAGACCTGCTTCCAGAATCAAAGTGGTTTAAAATGCTAACACCATGACGGGCTATATGTTCTAGACTTTCACAGATCCTGCTGTCTTGAGATTTCAAATTACTATAATACAACTTGATTAAAAAAATATATATATTTTTTAATTTTGTTTGCTCTCATCTTTTTTACTCTTCTTGGGTGTTTAACATGCCAAACAGGTATTTGCTTAATACATGATTACCCTATTATGATCTTATAACTCAGGTAAGAATATTAATTTAGCCAATATGGTGCTTCAGTTCTTCAGCACCTTTTTACAATTTTACCAATTTGATTGTAAAGAAGGCTGTTGCTGTTCTGCTTAGTACAGTGTATGAGATGCCACTGTGATGATTTAAAACTTAAACGTGTATAAAAGAAGCTTGGCACAATTTTCATTTTTTTTTTTTTTGAGTGTGTGGGGAATATTCTAAATCCGGTTTTAATTTATCAGATTTTAAATGTTAAATGAAAAAAATTAAGTTTTAATGTAATTTTTGCTGTGTGTTTAGTGTCATTGCTTGCCAGTTTGTTTAAAATAGATGAATAAATAGGTTTCTTTAAAAATTGTTTTTTTAATTGGTAAAATCAAATGTTTTTAATGGAAGACACTTTATGAATAGTCTGTTTTCCCTGACTTTTAGGGTATTTCACAGGCAAAAAGAAAGGTAGGGTGCTGGCAATATGTTTTTTCCGCCCTGCCCAAATTAGCTTTTTGCTTTGTTATAATCAGGTTTGTGCAAATGAAATGGATTAAAAAATCATGATTTTTGTTTGTGTTTGTGTGCTACTATTGTGATTAACAGTACTTGTATGCTTGCTTATTGCAAGATATACTATGCTTATTATTTCCCATTAATATAATTATACCACATTTATTGATTTTCTTCTTTGCATTTGCGATCATTGCTATATCATGCTGACTCCTCAACCGTTTGTTTCTTATCGTAGACAGACTTGCTACAAAGCATGCTCCCCAGTCTTCATCAATTACATTAGACAGGCACCATACATAAAGAATTTTTTAATGGAACTTTCTGAGATTAGTCAAGTTTTTGAAAGAGCCCCCAACTACAGTATGTGAAGAAAAAATAAAAGTTAATTTTCAGGGGCTTTCTGCTCCTTTGCTACTGTAGATGTCTCTTCAGTGAGGTTAAACTGACAGACTACATAGGGGAACAGTGGAACTGACTATGCATCAAACATTGGTGCCAATGTGCAAATTAAACAAACTGGAAAAAAAAATCTTTTAGTTACATGTAATCTTAGGCATTAATTATAACTATAGTATGTGTGGACAGAATTGTAACCTTTTTTTTTTTAATTTTTTTTAATTTAGTGGTGTCCCTTTTAAGTAATTTAAATTAAAGCTTCTTAAATAAAGGAGTGATGAGTGACATGGTAGAAAGAGCAGCATTAAAAGACTAAATGCAATATGTGCTGTGTTCAAATTATTCAAATTACAGAATGTTTTTATGTGAAATACTAACTTACTGTTTAATATATTCAGTGTTAATAACTGCACTGGCACGCAACAGAATTATCATATAGCAGTAGCAACTGTAACGACTGGCCTTTTAATCTCTAATTTAAGTGAGCTTTTGTAAAACAATTAGTTTTTTTTTTTTTCTTGGTTTAATTTGAAATTAATATACAATTTTAATTTAACATTCTAATAATGAAAATCTTGATTTATATTGAATTGCTTTATTTTTGTTCAAAACATCAATAAACATAACATTTTATTTTACTTTTATATTTAGTATTTTGATTGCAAGAATTACTGCTTGTTAATTCCATTCCTAACTGAGATTCATTTAGATATTAAGATTTTCTTTCGTCATACATATGTTAGCCATATTAAACTTTTCAAAGTTGCGGGAGGAGATTAGACCTTGGTCTCTAATTTCAGTCTCCAAAGTAAGGTGATACTGTGATTCTGAGCAGCTCTTGGAGTATTTTAGTTGGTAACGTCTAAACTGTATGCTTATCTAGAAAACAAAATTTTCATATCAATTCTGACTTTCTGTAAGCATCTTTTTAAAAATGAGAAGTTTATCATGAGAGCTGTTTAAAATTTGGCAGTAATCAAATATTGGTAAGGATTACAATGAATTCATTAATATTTTCCAGACAAAAATATCATTCATCATTCTTTCTGTTAATCTAGCCCAATTTCAGTATCTGGGTATTTGCATATAGTAGAACCTCAGAGTCACAAACACCAGTTATGAACTGACCAGTCAATTGCATACCTCATTTGGAATTGGGAGTATGCAATCAAGCAGCAGCAGACTCACAACTCCCAAAACCCACAAATACAGTTTAGTATTGTGTTAAATGCAAACTACTAAAAAAAAAAAAAGGAAATTTTAAAAAAAAAAAAAAAATTTGACAAGGAAAGGAAACCGTCTCTGTGCTTGTTTAATTTAAATTAAGGTGGTTAAAAGCAGCATTTTTCTTCTGCATAGTAAAGTTTCAAAGCTGTATTAAGTCAATGTTTAGTTGTAAACTTTTGAAAGAACAAACATAATGTTTTGTTCAGCGTTATGAACAACCTCCATTCTCAAGGTGTTTGTAACTTTGAGGTTCTACTGTAGTTAACACCGCTAAATCTATTCATTTGTAATTGTGAGGTATGATTCATAATGATATAGATTTAGACTGGAACAGATGGAAATTGTCTCATCTGTTTGTGCCTCTAGGGTTGCACAAAACGTATATACATTATAACAGAAGAAAATTATGCTAGTGAAATAGGACAGCAGACATGGAAACACAAGCGGACAATATTTTATTAAAAATGTTGTGTTTTATAAAATAAATAGAGGATACATTGGAGATGATTTTAGGGCAATCCGTAATAACTGTGCTAAAGGAGGCCAGACAAGGTGGGTGAGATAATATCTTTTATTGGACCAACTTCTGAAGACCTTTGTGTTGCTCGAAAGCTTGTCTCTCTCACCAGCAGAAGTTGGTCCACTTACAGATATTACCTCATCCACCATGTCTTTCTAATCTCCTGGGATTGACACGACTACAACTATTCTGCATACAATTTAGGGAGGTCACTCACTTTTGAAGTTGTATGTTTGCTATAGAGGTGTAAGATTGGAAGGGCTGACATAGACATTTTGGTATGCTGTAGAGTATAGATATTAGTAATATTGATATACCAATTAGTAACTATACAGCGATATTAGTAATAAAGCAGATTCCCGTTGCTGGAATAGGAAGCATGGGCATATGTTCTTTAGTTGTTGATAGTGAAATTCCTTTCACCTTTTCACTCATCAACAAGGTAACTTCTTGGAGGATTCTTTCATTCGCTTGTATTTTAATAGGTTTACATATAGCCATTATTACCTTCTATCTATTTTTAAATGAGGCAAATTCATATAACAACCCTAAATAACTATAAAACAAAAGAATACTGAAAAGCTATAGCAAACATTCAAACTGGGATAATTCAAATTAAGGCTAACAGCCCATCATTAATACATAATATAGAGATAAAACCATTTACCTGCAGTTTTTTTAGCTTTTGTTGGTTTGTATTCCAAAAATATCCTACTTTTCCAAAAAGTGAAGATTGCCTTTCATTTCTCTTTTATTAAAGTGGAGCAAATTGCCCTGTCATATTCCAGAAGGTGTAATTCTTAGATCCTGTGCTGTATTTGCCAAGTAAAATTAGATACACCTCTACCCCAATATAACGCTGTCCTCGGGAGCCCAAAAATCTTACCGCGTTATAGGTGAAACCGCCTTATATCGAACTTGCTTTGATCTGCCAGAGTGCGCAGCCCCGCCCCCCAGGAGCATTGCTTTACGGCATTATATCCGAATTCGTGTTCTATCGGGGTAGAGGTGTAGTTCAAAACTTATTGAATAATTCATTTTGTTTTATACAGAAAAATTATCTGACAACGAATGAAGTAGATCCATATACTCAGGGACTATCTCTTCCTATTGGCGAGAGGAGGTCAGCCAAGGTAGGTGTGCAGGTGTAAATTCAGTAAATATTTTATATAACTAATGAATTAAAAAAACTGAAGTTTTCAGTGTTGTGCAAAAATAGACTTTCCAGTTGACAATAAAAAAAACCTGCCAAACTTTTTATCCACTTCATATATGAACATATTCCTTTATCGTTAGGTCAATTTTAAATAAGGTGAAGCCTTCTAATTCTAATTCTAAATCTATTTTCTGATTGATTGATTTAATTACCAAGATTCTTTTTCCTTGAGTAATCCAGTACACTGATTTGTAGGTAATGAAATGGTCAAATTTTACTTTTAAGAAGAGCTGTCAATTAATCGCAGTTAACTCGTGATTTAACTAAAAAAAACGAATCTCAATTTAAAAAAAACTAATTGCGATTAATCGCACTGCTAAATAATAGAACACCAATTGAAAGTTATTAAATTTTTTTGGATGGTTTTTCTACGTTTTCAAATATATTGATTTCTATTATAAACAGAATACAAAGTGTACAGAGCTCACTTTATATTATTTTTTATTACAAATATTTGCGCTGTAAAATGATAAACAAGAGAAATGGTATTTTTCAATTCACCTAATACAAGTATTGTAGTGCAATCTCTTTATCGTGAAAGTGTAACTTACAAATATAGATTTTTTTTTGTTTTTTTGTTATATAACTGTACTCAAAAACAAAACAATGTAAAACTTTAGCGCCTCCAAGTTCACTCAGTCCTACTTCTTGTTCGGCCAGTTGCTAAAACAAACAAGTTGGTTTACATTTATGGGAGCTACTGCTGCTTGCTTCTTATTTACAGTGTCAGCTGAAAGTGAGAACAGGCGTTTGCATGGCACTTTTGTAGCTGGTGTTGCACGGTATTTACGTGCCAGATATGCTAAACGTTTGTATGTCCCTTCATGCTTCGGCCACCATTCCAGAGGACATGCTTCCATGCTGATGATGCTCGTTAAAAAAATAATGCGTTAATTAAATTTGTGACTTAACTCCTTGGGGGAGAATTGTATGTCTCCTGTTCTATTTTACCCGCATTCTGCCATACATTTCATATTATAGCAGTCTCGGATGATGACCCAGCACATGTTCATTTTAAGAAAACTTTCACAGCAGATTTGACAAAACGCAAAGAAGGTACCAGTGTGAGTTTCTAAAACTAGCTACAGCACTTGACCCTAGGTTTAAGAATCTGAAGTGCTGTCCAAAATCTGAGAGGGACGAGGTGTGGAGCACGCTTTCAGAAGCCTTAAAAGAGCAACACTCAGATGTGGAAACTACAGAACCTGAACCACCAAAAAGGAAAATCAACCTTCTGCTGGTGGCATCTGACGCAGATGAGGAAAATGAACATGTGTTGGTCCTCTCTGCTTTGAGTCGTTATTGAGCAAAACCCATTATCAGCATGGACGCATGTCCTCTGGAACGGCGTTTGAAGCATGAAGGGACATATGAATCTTTAGCGCATCTGGCACGGAAATATCTTGCAATGCCAGCTACAAGAGTGCCATGCGAATGTCTGTTCTCACTTACAGGTGACATTTTAAACAAGAAGTGGGCAGCATTATCTCCTGCAAATTGTAACCAAACTTGTTTGTCTGACCGATTGGCTGAAGTAGGACTGAGTGGACTTGTAGGCTCTAAAGTTTTACATTGTTTTATTTTTGAATACAGTTTTTTTTGGACATAATTCTACATTTGTAAGTTCAACTTTCATGATAGAGATTGCACTACAGTACTTGTGTTAGGTGAATTGAAAAATACTATTTCTTTTGTTTTTTACAGTGCAAATGTTTTTGTAATAAAAATAAATGTAAAGTGAGCACTGTACACTTTATATTCTGTGTTGTAATTGAAATAAATATATTTGAAGATGTAGAATATATTGATATCCTTTATTATTTGTATTATCATAGTGCCTAAGAGCCTTAGTAATGGTACAGACCACATTGTGCTAGGCACTGTACAAACAGAACAAAAAGAGAGCCCCTGTCCAAAAGAGCTTACAGTGTAGTCAGTTTTCAAGTACTCTGCCAGTTGCACACTTTTCCACATACATGTTTATGTATGAAGAGCAAGACATACAGATGTAGCGGTTCAGTTACTATAAATATATGAGGACATAATACTTAAGGTTTTGTATATTAGCACATTATATATCCTTTTTTTTTTAATGGTGAAGAATCTAAAGACTGCTAAAATATGGCAGGCTTTATAGCACTGAAGTATTATGAATGTGCCATAGCTGCTAATTTTACATCAACACTTGAATTTCTGTAACCTCTGCCATATTAAAACCCAGCAGGTTTTACACATTCACTCAGTGTGTTGAGGTCCCTGTTGAGCAGTATTGCCAACTTTGTGTCCTCTTAAAGCTATCTCTACTTTATCTTTTATCCTTCAATAGCTGCTTGCTAGTTTTACATTGTCCTGCTAGAAACCACAAAGACCAAAAGATTAAAAATGTAGCTGTTGTGAACATCAGCTTCATTCAATAAACTATTATCAACATGTCAGACCCATGGTGATAACTCTACCAATAAGTGGAGTTGTGAATTCTGCTTGAAATTTTACCATGGGGTGCAACTGAATGTATATGTAGTGTTTGTATATTATTATCCATTTTGACTGAGGGAGAGAGGGAGCAAAAAATACTGCCAAAGGTGGGGAAAATCATGTTCATATGACTAGTATATTTCTTATTTTTATTTGTATTACAGTAATGAAAATTAGGATTGGGCCCCATTATGCTAGGTGCTACAAAAGACAATCCTTGTTCTGAAAACTGAGTGCAATAATCTCAGGAAAATTTTTTATCTGATCACTGTTTATTTTCCTGCTGTTGCCTCTGGAGACTCAGTATTTTATTAGTTGACATATTTCCATTTATTTTAAGGTGTGAGGGGGGCTGGCCCTGACTCTTGTCACTCTCAGGAGGGTAAATCCATTTTTATCTGGGGGGAAGGGGAGAATCGTGTTTTTTCTCTCTCTCTCTCTCGTTCTTCATCCATCATACTTATATGGCTCCTGTTACCACAGTATGTAAATAGCCTCATAACACCCCTGAGAGATGTAGGTACTCTTAGCCTCTGTGTCAGTTGCCCATCTGTAAAATGGGGGTTAAGTGACTTGCCCAAGGTGTGATTGGGGTTCCGGAGGGGGCCACCCTCAGATTGCTCAATCTGGGCAAACTGCAAATAATGGGGCAGACAATCCCTCAAAATGGTGGTTTTCTAATAAATTCACCAAACCAACAACAAAACAGCTTCTACAATGCCTTACTGGTTACCCAGAAGCCAAAAAATACAGTTCCCTTAAGCAATCCAGCCTTGGGCTCCCATCCAGACAGCCAAATCAAATATGATAAGGTTTACTGAAAATCTTGTTCATCATATATAAAGTTGTACCAATCCCAAAGGATCGGACACATTATTCACCAGGTCAATGAATATTTCAGATCTTACATGCTTACAGCCAATTCTTATTAACTAAACTAAAATTTATTAAAAAAGAAAAGAGGGAGCGAGTACTGGTTAAAAGTTCATTACACGTACAGATATGAATAAAGTTCTTACGTCAGTTTCATAGTAGAGATGGTGAGCTTCAGCGTTGCAAAAAGTTCTTTCAGAATTCATTCCTTAGGTTATAGTCCAATGTCCAATATCAGGGTGATCCAGACGAGCTGGAGATCTCAGTCTTGCGACTTAAATTTCCCTTGACGAAGCTTAAGGAGATCTGAGATACAGGATCAGAGTTCTTTTATAGAACTCTGGCAGGTTATTGATAGCCTATTGACAGCAGGTATTACTTGGGTGAAGTATTAGGTGGTTTTACTTCAAAGCCACCTATTTCCTGTGCATACACAGGTAACTAGTTACATTCAGCAGCACAAGGTAATTATCCAGTAAGAAGTTCATAGACAGTTTACTACAAACGTCAAAAAGAAATATAGACAATGATATTGTTACACCCAAGTTCCATCTAAATGTTACAATTCCCTTTTGATCTCTGAATCAATAGAATATAGTAACAGATAGGAACCATCTACATGGTTAACATCTAACAAGATATAAGTAAACAAATCCAGTTAGTATTTACCTCTAATTCTCTGCCAATACAGGTTTGTATTTCAAAGCTCTAGTCTATCTAACATGGTTTTGTTAGCTATTTGTAAGAAATAGCCTTAATTACCATTTACATACAGTACTTCTCTAATATGTCTCTAAAGGTTGAATTTGGGTCATGTAGCCTGTTAGTTGCTTAACCCTTTCTGGTTCAGTGTCACACAAGGTCACAGAGGAAGTCTGTGGAACAGCGGGTACTTGAATCCAGGTTTCCCACATCCTGTGCTTGCACCCTAACCACTGGACAATCCGTGTGTGTGTGGGGGGGGCACAGCCTATTTCTCCTGTGCTCTCATTGACTCCCTTGATGGGCCCAGGCAGCATGGAGGAGGAAGCTGTCTAATTTGAATGTAGAGGGGACAAAAACTGGACTTGCTGGAGAGTGGGGGAAGAGTAGAGTGGCGCAGGGAGCCTAAGGGGGTGGGAGCTGGAAACTGGGATTGGAGGCTGGCAGGTGGAAGAGAGGGAAACTGGGAATGAGAGTTAGTTTAGGGAGGACTGCAGCTGGCTGGGCACGGAGATTGGGAGCTGGGGGGTGCATGTCTGGGAGCCAGTAGATCAGTAAGGAGTCTGAGGTTGGATGAGGAGCCAATGGGGAGGGCAGGGATAACTATGCAAGGAGGTGAGGGAAGAGGAGAGACATCTGAGGAGGAACTGGGTGGCAGGGTGAGAAGTGGGACTGGCTGCATAAAAAGACTTGGATAATGAACCTGTGGGGCCGGGGGAGATACAGAGAGTGGGCAGGAGCCAAAGGAAGGAGATAAGAATGGGGGAATGTGGGTGGGGAAGCAACTGGAGGTTAGGATGGGGGTGAGAGAGAGATTAGATGAGGAGCTGGGACAGGGGAACTGGGACTGGCTGGGCAAGGAGACTG